GTACGACCTACGGAAACAAAATGAAATATACACACGAAAACAAATGTTCCAATTGTATTTTTTTTTTTTTTTTAGTAATTTAGCTTTGGGATTAGGATTATATTATGAAAATTAGGAAAATAACTAAAAGTTTTGGGATTCCTTTGAAAAAACCATAGGTTGTTTTACAAAGGTTTTGGTTAATTACCTAATTTCACTATAGTTTATGGTTAACCAATGCAAATATTTTTTTTTTTATAAACTGATTTTTATGTTCCAGAGGCCACAAATTGTTGAGTATTGTACTTTGTACTAATAAAAAATTACTACATTAATTGTTGAGTATTGTTTTGTGTGTTAAAATATCATAAAAAGCTCCAACTTTAAAAAAGTGACAAAAAAAAACTCCAACTTTCAAAAAGTGACCAAAAAGACTCCAACTTTCAAAATACTTATACTTTTTCTTCACCGTGGCAGTTGGTGTATTATTCGAATTCGAGAACAGATAAGAGAATAAACCTCTGAAATTCAATAGTTTAGTCACTTTAACCAACAACACATCCTATCACAATCCCGACAATAGCTCCGACAGATAACTTGTCATCATCTTTCTTCTTTCCCGGAGACAAATCGGGGTTTTCGGCTTCACCTTCGAAAGCGGTTCGAGAAAATCTCGACAACGACTTCGGCATCGATCCGTCTAATTGATTCGACGAAACAATGAATTGCTTAAGAGGAATTGTGATCTCAGGGATCAGACCGGTGAGTTGATTCCTCTCTAAGTACAAAGTAAGCAACCGAGTCGCTGAATTGACATTATCCGGGATCCGACTCGAGAACTTATTCTCCCCTAAATTATTTCGGATTATGTTCAGAAGCGTGAAAAAAACGACGGAATCTCGCTGGAAAAAACATTACCTTGAAGCAACAAGTAACGGAGAAGCACTAAGTTTGAGAAATCTGATGGGATTGGACCGGAGAGGAAATTGAAACGGAGAGACAGGGTTTGTAGATCGATTAAATTACAGATTCCACCGATTGGGTGAGAACCAAATAAATCCGCTCCAGGTAATCGGAGCGCTGTGACCCAACCCGAAGTACAATATACTTTGTGCCAATTACAAGGAGAAGAAGCAGTCATGTTCCATAGTAAATAACGACCACGAACACTACTACGGACGACGAGTAAAATTCAATAGTCTGGATTGACGAGATTGTGATAGGATGTGTTCCGGAAATTTTCGATTTCAAAATCGATTTTTAGACCACTTTTTGAAAGTTATAGCCTTTTTTGCCTCTTTTTGAAAGTTGAAGTTTTTTTTTCCACTTTTTGAAAGTTGGAGCTTTTTATGATATT